TTTTTTTTTTTTACAATATTTTATTGGAGTTTTCAATTATAACAACCATTGCATATTAATAAAATAAAATGGTCAGTCTTGGCAGCAGATACAGTATATCATGAAAAAAAAAATACAGTAATTAAACAAGTAAATATACAAATGAGTGTAATTACAATGTGCAGAACTCTATTATGTGAAATCTCATAAGAGTGTGTGTGTTTTAAGAGGGATTCTGAAACATCATTATTATCTTAGCAGGTTTTTGCACAAATTGCTTCCCATCCTCAGTCAATGCACACACACTCACACACACACCAAGCAGACCAATCACAGTTGTGAGGGAAGTGTGTGTCAGGCTACGGCACCGTTTGGACACAGAACAAAAACAGAACAGCACCACTTACCTTCATCCCCTATTATGATTTGCATTCTGCATCAGTTTGTATCGTTCTCTTCAGTCATCATAGCTCACTCTTCCTTTTGTTTTCCAGGCTCTTTTGTATGAAGATGAGGAATGGAAATCAAACCACAAATGAAGCCAGCGACCTCCTCTTCCCTGCCGGAGCAGCTCTGAGCAGCAAGACAGATTGTCCACACCTCAGTCCCCAACTGCTGCCTCACTCACTTTTAGATCTGTGGACTGACAGTTTAAATGCAGGACATAGATGCTGACCAGAGCTTCAGGAAGAGGGCGTTGTCGACTGGCGCGAAGGTTTGTTCTGTATGTAATTTTACAGAAAATCCAGACAGTTGATCCCCTGCCTTTTTATTTCATTTCCTGAATGTGGTCATGGTGTTTGTGCCTTACTTGGAGGTAGACATCGACAGGGACGGTCAGGATGTGACAGGGCAGATATGTGACTTGCATTACATTCCAGAGATTGCTGGGCTGTCTGAAAATCAAACTCAAAAGTGTCACTGAAGGACAGCGTTCTGCTCCCGAGTTTACAAAATGGCGGTTATATGGATGAGTTACATGACATGCTAACTTTCAACATCTGAATATTCCTCAAAATACAGTCGAGTTACATGTTTAGGACCTCACTGATATTCTGATACCGCGAAATCTTTCTCTTGTGTCTCTGTCACATGCGGGTGTTAGCATACAGTGCAGTGTGTGCCCAGAGGCAAACCAGCACTAGAGACTGCCTCATTCAATACATGCTTACAGTTGCTAAGCCTATACTTGGGTGTAACACTAGCGGTTGTGATGGGAACAGGAGCTGTTTGTTCTGTGTCTGACTCTGTGAAAGGTTACGGTACATGTTCAAACCTGTGACACTGAAACTGGATGCCCTGAACTTTAACCTGCTGATCCATTTGTACGCCATCATACAGGCTGTCGTTTCAGTTCAGTTTCAGATCTCACCATTGAGGCATTAAGTGTAAACCAGTGAGCTGTCAGCTATTGAGAGAAAGTTTGGTTTAATCTGGGCGGCAGAAAGGTGGCATTGTTAAAAAAAAAGACTTTGGTTGGTTTATTTACACTTACTCACAGATACTATGGGAAGTTTCAGGGGACGTTTATATGATGGATAAATGAAACAATGCATCTTCTGTTAGGGTCTCGCTGGTCACTTTTGTTTATATTTGCTGGCCATGAGAATCCACCACCACAATCCACTCTGATACAAGCTAAAATGTGGGATCGGGAGTCAGCGAGTACGCATGTCTGTGTGACTCTGATTGGCTAACCCTGATATTCTTCAATCAGTGCGTTTGTGGCCTAACTACAGTGGTACTAGAGCATCCTTTTGAAGGAAGTACTGGCAGCTACAGGAGTGGGCACTAGGTGTGACACAGCAAGAAACGTTGTTGTTGGTTAAACAACAATGTCGCCTCCCGTAGAGGTTAGTGTAGATGCCAATGAGTTAGTTTTTCCTCTCTGAAAGAAGAGCAAAGAACGGTGCTGAATGCTTTTCTCGATGGAAAAGATACTTTCACTCGGTGTGTTGATCTGATTGGTTAAAGTTCGCCTGTGATAGACGGTGATAGTCAGATGGTTCATCCAGTCACTTGGTATTTTTTTAACGTGCTTGCCCTTTTCCAAACAATTTCCAACAACCACTTTCCAGATGGTTCTTGTGTAACAAACCATCAGGTTAAACCAATCTAACCAACCCATACCGACGAAGGCAACCAGCCAATCATGTTTTAGTGCAGCAAAGTTGATTTCCAGTTGTGTAACGTTAGCCAGAGCTAGCTAAATGTCAGCACTTTGACAAACTAAAGAAAGTTCTTTGGCATTCATTCTCTCTATGTATTGGATCACGTATTACAAAGGGTTTAACCTGAGTCGGGCCATACAACAATACTAATCAAACAGGGTTAGTAGTATAGAGCTGTTAAAAAAAGAATACATATATATTTTAATGCACACTTCAGGTATCGGGTATCTCTTGTCACTACTCATCCTGTTTGACTTGAGGCAGCGATGTCACAGGAAGTTCTGTGTCCTAAATGATGTTTATCAGTTGTCCATCATCATCCTCTGCCTACCTATGTAGAAAACTCACTGGAGATTTGATGTATATCTTAGACAGCCATGCAGCTCAAAGAGTTGCTGTACATTTTGAAAGATCGTCTTATCCCAGTTGCTTTTTATAGAACTTCTCCAGACCTGTATGAGCTCGATGAGATGGCCACTCGAGATCACGGACATTGAGACGGATGAGCACATTTAATCACATGGATTTAGTTTTCACAATGAATAATGCTTCTCCAGACCAATCCTGCATATTTCATAAGCTACCATGATTGTAACGCACACTCCACAGTTATGAATGTCTAAAGACCAAATGCACCATCTCTCATTTAAATTCGAGGTAGAACTCTGACAAGTTAAATTTTGGATAGATACATAGCACTGCAGGTAAGAGGGGAAACGTATTTTTGATTTTGGGATGAACTCTCCTGTTGAGCTATACCATGCTAGCAAAACTGTAGGACTAGAAACTCTAATTAAATAACGATTGAATTTACTATTGAATGAACATCATACACGGCAGCTATTTAATCAGCTATTTAATAAATGAGTCAAAGCTTTAATCGTTTAATCATTGAGTCATGATCACGCAGCATTACAGCCTGAAGGTCAGTCAGGAACTAATCCTTTATCTACTGCATAGGAAAGTTTTGCAGTTTCTGGGAGACAGTGGGACAATACAAATATGGCATTTCACCCCCAACTGTGGGACCATTATCTTTATTTATTTTCTCTGTTAGCAAGGTCTTTGTGACTGTTTTGGAATGTCCTTATGACAGTCAGTGAAGCTGGAAGAAGACTGTATCTCTCAACAAAACTGTAATCAACTTGTTTATGTAAACGAGGAAGAAGCCTTGCACACAGTGTGTGTACGGTGAAGCAAGAGGTGCTGGTAGCTGTAAGGTAATTATATGGTCAGTTTAAAATAAACCACCAGTGGTTGTTGTCAGGACATTGCGTCAACATTTGCACGAGAAAGAGGTTTACTCTTCGTCAGGCTCATAACAAGATCCACCAGACTAATGCATAGAATAGGAGCCGACACACTAATTAATAATGGGACCAACCTGTGTCAAACCATCACTCTGGGCAAAACTTTTGAAAGTGCATTTAACCATTTTAACAAACCCCTACTACCTTTTTGTGAAACTGAGCTTGAACTACAACGGCTGTAACATCCCCCACCACAAGTTTTCCCTGCAACTAAAGATGTAAACACTTGACGAGCATTTTGCCTCCTGTGCCTTTAACTCTGAAGTGTTATATATGCATAAATATATATTAGATATTATTAATATGTAATTAAAGATAAAGATTAAGATATTAGAAAACAAATGTTGACTGAGATGTTTTATATGCCATCATTTTGTATTGTGTACAATCATGCTATTCCAATGTGTACCATGAAGATATACTGTATGGGTCTTTAAAATGTTCAATGATTGTATGTATTTCTGTTAAAAGCAGTAAACCGTTCCAACAGTGAATCCAGTTATTAGACGTCTCATTTTGTTCATCACGATCACACTCATGGAAAGAGTCTGTCTGCCTTTCTTCATTCTTCAGTTCAAATGAGAGCAACAGAAACAGCAAAATGTTGAATGTTAAATAGAATTGAATTGAATGACCAAAAGGTACACTATCCATCCAAGTCATGTCAAATTATATTCATATCGCCCAGGATCACTAGTCACAAATATGCCTCAAGGGACTTCACAATCTGTCCAATATATGACACTGTCTATCCTTAGACCATCGCTTCAGATCAGGATGGATCTGGGAGGACACATGACCTCCTCTCCACCATGG